GGAACCCCCACAAGAGCAAGACCAGATGACCACGAGGCCTCAACCACAGCCCGAGGAGCCTCACCTGAAGTTCTCTGTGGGTCGTGCTGGGGTGAAGGAGTTGCCCTGGGTGAAGAGGGGCTGGTTGGCAGGCACAGTGCTGGCAGGAATGGCTTTGTTCTGGTCTGTGGGGAGAGTGGGGGGGGTGTGCATCAGGGCTGAGAAGCTCTCAGGGACAGGGAGACCTGCCCGTGTCAAGGCTTGTTCTGAGCCAAGGCAAACAGGGCTCTGCCTTATCCAGATGGTGCTGTAATTTTATTTAATTGGATTTCCTCATCAACCCACATTAAGGTCCTCTGGGGTTTGAGAGAGTTAGAACAAGCAGCCAGCAGAGCCCCAGAACCCCTCTGAGGGGGGTTTGGGAAGGAGCAAAGAGCCCTTGGATGGAAGGTGGGACTGGGTGAAGCTGACTGGGCCTCTCCCAGCCCAGCACTCCTCACCTGCACTGATGCCACTGTAGATTTCACTGAACCTGGGGTCCCTCTCTTGGTTAAAAAGGTTCTCAGGCTTCTCCAGGGGCTTGCTGTGCTCTGGGCCAGCAGCAGGCACGGGCTGGACGGGCACCTGGGAGCAGGGATCAACGTGAGCTGTTAGCACCCTGAACAAAAAGACCCTGACAGGCTCACAGCCAGCAGGGAGAAGAGCAAAAGGGGCTTCTTAAATCATGCAGGATGAGAAATCCAGGGGTAAGGAACCCCTTCCCTCTCTGCTGATTTACCTGGGAGTGGTCGTAGCCAGCCAGGCTCTCCCTTCCAGGGACCACTTCCAGCTCTGTCTGTTGTGGTGGCTGCTGCTGCTGCCTAAAATAGAAATTCTCTGTAAGAGGAGAAGTCTGGCTGCTGAAAACCAGCACTGAGGGATCAGATGCTCCGTGGTGACAACTCTGACTCCTCAGCCCAGCAGGGAGGAAGGTTTGGGGAGGGAGGTTACGTGACAGGAGCAGGGAGAGAGGGATGGGAAAGGCAGCAGAGCACCTCCTGACCTTGAGGGCAGAGGGGCTGTGCCCATCTCCAGGGGAAGGCTCACGCTCTGCCCCAGCTGGGGCCTCTGCAGGGAGTTGGACAGGGCAGGCCGAGACTCCTGGCTGGAGTTCCTTTAAAGCCAAAAAAGAGAACAAAATATATAGATTGTAAAAAAAAACACCAAAAGGGAAGCAAACAAGTTGGCCACTCTGTGCCCCACACAAGTAGAATGGAGGAGTTCAAAGAGAGCTCGAGGCAGCCCTGACACCAGGAGGGGGATTAAGGCCCCATATCAGATCTACATCAGATTTTTCAGGGCGCAGCTCGTTAAGGCCAGAGGGATTTGTCACTCTTAATGAGCTCCTGATGCTTCCTCCTCGGGGAGCAGCAGCTTTGCAGCTGAGGGAGGGGGAGAAGAGCTCTCAGCACTCCAGGACTTGGCCAAAAAAAGAAGAATCCTGGCCTTTCACTCGCCCACAAGCCACCTGCCTGGCTGGAGAGACCCCACCTGCAGTTGTGAGTCACACACAGGCACTGGGTGATTTTTTTTTCCAAAATTATTTCAGTTGCTGCTCTTCTATAAGGGGCCTGGAACTTCCCTGTGGGAGGAGAGAGTGGCTCTGATTGCTCCCAAGGGAGATCCATGCTCCTCACTGGAGCTTCCTTCTGAATTCAAGGACAAAACTGCAGCAGTGGAGAAAAATCCCAGCGTGGTAAAGGTTAGAAGGGACCTCTGAAAATCACCTTATCCAACCCCCCTGCTCCAGCAGAGTGCCCAGGATGGTGCCCAGGTGGGTTTGGGATCTTTCCAGAGCAGGAAACTCCCTGCCCTCTCTGGGCAACCTGCTCCAGGGCTCCAAAACCCTCAAAAAAAAAGCAGCATTTACTTCCTAATTTCACTCATACTAGCTCTGGATGCAAACCCACGGGCAGGGACTCGCTCCAGTAACCAGAGTTAAAAACAGCACTGCTGGAGCTGAGCTCTGGCAGCCTGCTCAGCCACGCCATGGAGGAGGCCAAAGGAGTCACATTTCTGGCACTTGACAATCCTCCAGTGCCTGCCAGGGCCCAGGGAAGGAGCATTCAGGCAGTCAGGAGCTCCTAAACTGAGCGAGGGAGAAAAGCCAAAGCTTTCTGTGCAAAGAAAAGGTTTGTGCTGCTGATGACTCCCCTCTGGAGGGGGTTGGGAAGCCTCTTTCCAGGCACCTACTTGACGTTGGTGTTGGTGCAGATGATGTACTCGATCTCATCTGAGTAGGGGTTCTGGAAGGTGAAGGAGCTGGTCCTCATCCAGAGCCACTCCCGGGTCTTGGATCGGAAGCGGAACATGACCGACAGCACCTGACCTTTTAACTTCACCACCTACAGAAACACACAAACACCAGCAGGAGAACCTGAGCAAAGGAGCCTTGGGAGAAGCCACCCTGCTGCTGAGCACGAGCCACACATCAGCTCACACCTTGATGATGGCCCTTTGCCTCCACGCCTACCAGACCACACCTTGGGTCTTCCCCAGCTAAATGATGCTGCCACTGTTCTCTGACACTCTCTGGATGCCTGAATGACATGGGAGGGAAATCCAAGATCCCCTTTTTTTAACTTTACCTTCCACTTATCTCTTTGCACTGGTGAGATGTATGGGGGGGAAAAAAAAAAGCCTCCAGTAAATGAAGCACATGCTGTTGGCTCCTGATTCTGACTATTTGGACGAATGGATATGAGAGCAGCTGCTTTTTTTGGAGTCATGAAAGCCCAGGGGCAGTCTTACCTGCCCTGCCACAAGTCCAACGCCCTCAGAAATAAGAGTAACGACAACAGGGCAAGCAAAGCACCTCCGTTGAGAGTTCTGCAGCACTGGGCTGGGCCCTAGAGATGAACCAGGGTTTCATTTCAGCCACAGAAGCATGGCATTGGAGTAGCCACTTTGTAGGCCACGGCTCTGGCCCTAAAAGCAGACTGGACTAGCAGCCAGAGATGAATTCAAGAGTTAGACATCACATGCTTCTGGTTGGTGTTGCATATTTACAGTGACATGACTGTAGCTGCCAACGTTTGTCATTGGAAATGTCTCAGGTTTATTTTTCTCTTGGTTTTTCCAATTCATTTCTTTGCTTTACAAGCATCAGGACAGTCTGGGAACTGGACACAGTGCTGGGTGCAGAGTGGTTGCTGAAGGGTCTTACCTGCTGGAAGCTGTCCCTTAAAAGCTGCTGGTCTTCTGGGTGGCAGAAATCCACAATGTCCTTCCCCAGAAGTTCCTGGGTTTGAAGGGATTGGGAGAGAGGAGAAGTCAGCTCCCCTCTGACACGCAGCCTCCTGCCTTGTCTGCCCAGTTAATCCCACTTTGGTAGCATCCTGCTCCCCCCGTGCCCCCAAATCACACAGAGACCACGTGCAGGAGCTGGCGTCCTGAATTTTGAAGAGTGGTTGACCAAAGTTTGATCTCCAGCTCAAATGGAGGCAAAACTGATCTTAATTGACAGTAGACATAACCCAGAGCCACTCGTCCTTCCAGTGATCAAAGTGCTCAGAAAAGCACGTGGAAAACAACTGGTGGAGAAGAAACACATGTCTGGTTTGAGCCCTGGGCACTGTCTGAACTGCTCTGTTAGCCCAGCAGAGCCAGGAGGTGCAGGAGAGGGAGGAGGGAAAGGTGAGTTTGAAGAGTGGGTCTTTCTTGGAAACCTCCTGCCATGAAAATCATGGAATCACAGGATGGCTCTGGTTGGGAGAGACCTTTGAGATCGAGTCCACCCTGCCCCCAGCAGGGCCAGGTCCTCACTGAGCTGTGTCCCTCACCCCACATCTCCACAGCTTGGGAACCCCTCCAGGGGTGGGGACTCCACCACTGCCCTGGGCAGCCTGGGCCACTGTCTCACCTGTGGCTGGTAGCCCACTGTAGCCACGCAGCGATGATCTATGAAGGTGAAAATCCCTTCAGTGTTGTGCCTGGAGATGAATTCTGTTGGCTGACAAACGTTGTTCATGTCTGTGCAGTTGGGTGAGCTCGTCACCTGCAAGGCAAGGCAGGTACAACGTTACCCAGTCTCCCTGCAGTCAGGTTGTGGCCACCAGGGAAGGTCTTTGGATGGACTAGTTTAACTCAGGGGACTTTTAGGAGAAGGGGCATGGAAAGAGGGTACCCACCTGGAGTCTGCCAATAGCCACAAGGCAAAACTTGCTGCCCTGGCCAGCGTCTGGGTCATCATCTGGCAGTGAAACCCCTGAAAGGGCCAAAAAAAATACCAGCAAGATGAATACAGGAAAAATTGCTAATTCAGAGGAAAAAAAGAGAGAGGCAGTTCCAACTTTGGCACGGCACCCCACCCTGTTTTCTATTCAATAGCCTTTCCCAGGCAAGAATTTGGGAAATTAAGCTGCCTCCCCTCCCTTTTTCCAGCAGAAGGGTTAAAAGCTCTCCCAACTTCCAGCACAAGCTGGTGTTCCAGGCAGCACAATGTTATTTTCACCCTCTACAGTACATCTGCTATCCAGAGATGTACACCTCTGACCCAGCAGCAGCAAAAAGGACTTCAAACTTAAAACAATTTAAATTTGGAAAGCATCTGCTGGCAGGTTGAGCTTGCAGAATGGACAATTTCAGACCACAGGCTCTTAAATCCAACCCAAGTGCTCCCAGCAAGGGCATTACCTGCAGGGGGCCAGGCTTTGATGTAACCCGTGCAGTGCACCACCACGTAGTGGGGTTCGCCGTCTTTCGCCGCCCCTAAACCGTTCCTTGGGAGAGAGAGAAACAGCCTGATTGTGCTGGGGGCTACAGCAGGGTGAGGTGAGGGAAGGTTTCTACTTGGGTATTTTTGACAAAAAAGCTTCCACAGAAGGGCTGCAGGGTAAGGAAGGGACAAAGATTTCACATCAAGGTGGGTTGAAGAAGAGGAGTTGGAATCGGAGGCGAGCAACACGGGCGTGAAGAATATTGGTGTTAAACTGGCTGCCAAAAAATCCTCTCCAGATGATCTTCCTCACCATGGCAATGCTGAGGTTCCTCTCCCAGCACACTCACCACACCACTCTGAGGATGGGTGGAGCTGTAGCTCCTCTGGTCCTGTTTACCTGCAGCGATTCCTCATGAAGCTGAGCCGATTCACAGAGACGGGATCCACCGAGCTGCTGCCACACCTGGAGCAGAACCAGAGCCACGAGGGGAAAAGGCTTTTAGCTGCCAACATCAAAGCAGCTGCACAGGCTGGAGTAAAAGGAAGTGCTCCTCAGATGGAGAGGAATGGTTGAATCTCCATCACACGAGTGTAAAGCTCAATGGACTTCCAAGGAAGGTGACTCATGGGGTCAAATGAATTTCCTTGAAACAACAGCCTTGAGAGCTCTTGGCACAGGGCAAAGAAACATCTCAAGAACTCCTTGACTGTTGGCACTGTGTGGAAAGCTCAGCTGGGTTAGATCATGACTGGGTCAGAAGGAGATAAAAAAAAGCTGAAATAAAAGCATGAAGGGGCCAGGTGAATTTATAGAATCATGGAAGTGTTTGGGATGGGAGAGAGCTTGGAGCTCCTGGAGTCCACCCAGGTCCCCACTGCCCCGTGTCCCTCACCCCACATCTCCACGGCTTGGGAACCCCTCCAGGGGTGGGGACTCCACCACTGCCCTGGGCAGCCTGGCACAGCCCTGGGCAACCCTCCAGGGCAAGAAATTGTTCCTCAGGGGCAACTGAAACCTCCCCTGGGGCAACCTGAGGCCGTTTCCTATTCTCTTGTCCCTTGGGAGAAGAGCCTGATCCCCACCTGGCCCCAACCTCCTGTCAGGGAGCTGTAGAAAACCAGAAGTTCCTCCTGTTTGTCTCCTTTACCTCATTCTGCAGATGAAGGATCTTCGTGAGCCCATACACATCCTCATGGACTGCTGGCCTTCCTTCTTCACAGTCCCAGTCTTCAAATCCAGGATACGACCTGAAGAAAGAAGACAGAAGAAGATGCTGCTGCAACCTGAGTCCTTTCATCACCAGCACAGGCACCAGGTAACATATCAGGAAACTAGCAAGACACAAGTGCCACCAATGGTACCTTTAGATGCATTCTCAGGGGGGGCGGCAGGATCCTTGTTAGAAAGGCACCAGGGTTTGGTTCCTTCTACAAAGGGAAGGTTTTAATCCAAGGCTTTCGGGCTGCCCACCCTCCCCCCAAATCTTTTTCGGGGTGCTGTACCTGTCAGGGCATTCTCTGAGGTGGAGAGCTGCTCCCTCAGCTTGCCCACGTCGTCGGGGTGAACCTGGTCGTAGAGGGTGCTGCCAAACCACTCGGACTGAGGCTGGTTCAGGACTGGGGTCACTGAGTCTGAGACGTAGACCACCCTCCCAGTCTCACAGGAGACTATGAACAGAAAGCCATCAGCTGCCTCCAGGATCAGGTGTTTGAGTTCCTGCATTTGGACAGACAGGCTCTTAACTCTGCAGCCGAGCAAGCTGCCAACCTCTGAACCCACCCTGGGGGCCCCTCTCGTAGAAACCCAGGCTGGGTTTTTGGGTGGGAAAGGAACTTTCAAAGACATCTCATCCAACCCACCTGCAGGGACATCCCCAGCTAGAGCAGGGTGCTCAGAGCCCTCAACCTCCCCTGGAAGGTCTCCAGGGATGGGGCATCACCCACCTCTTGGGTCAACCCAGGCCAGGCTCTCTCCACCCTCAGTGTCCAAAATTTCTCCCTTCTCTCTAGTCTAAATCTCACTATTAGTTTACACCATTCCACCTTGGACTGTCCCAACAGGCCCTGCTCAAAACTCTGTCCCCAGCTTTCTTCTAAGTATTAAAATGCCCCCAGAAGGTCACCCTGGAACCTCCTCCTCTCCAAACCAACCCACCCCAACCATCTCACCCCTTCTCCGCAGAACAGCTATCTCCCCTCACCCCCAATTTAATTCCCCTCTCTCTCTCAAGTCCATTTTTTTTTCCCCACTGAAGCAGCATCAAGCCAAGACCTGGTCAGTGAGAAAGGAGGGTTTGTAGGTGCCATCAGTGGAGGTGTTGCCCGTGCCCCTCAGGGACTTCATGTGGGAGACAGCCATGCGGAGGATGGTCAGCTTGTCGGGCTTGCGGGCCAGGGCGCTGCAGGTGGGCACCATGTCAGAGAGCTCTGTGATGTAGGCAGTCATCTTGTTCCTCCTCCTGCGCTCGATCTCGCTGTGATTTTCCCTGCAAGAGGCCAGGGAGGAGAGGAGAAGAGAGGGAGGAGAGATGCAGTCAGCAGAGGGTTGGGTTTTCCCCCCCCTCCCCGCGTCAACGCTTCGGGGTGCAAGACGGGGGTTAGAAAGGGCTGCAAGCGCCTGGCATGCTGGGCGTGCACAGAGGGAGGAGGGCAAGGAGGAGAGGCTACAGCTGGACCCTCTTGGATTGGGACCACTGGAGTTCCCTGGGAGCTGGTGAAGGCCAGGAGCTGAGCTGGTTGAGCAGAGCAAAGAGGTCCCCCCGTCAGTAAGCCGAAGGATTTCTTCCTCTCCCGTGGCCTCTGCTCTCCCCTCACCCTCCTGAGGGCACTTGCTTCCCAGCAGCACTGCTGCAGAGAGAACTCATCCCAACGTTTGTCCAGGGATGAATCAAACCCCCTCCACCATCACCTTTCAGACACTGTGTCCCCCAGTAACTGAGGCCAGGGCTGCAGCTAAGACTCGGGCAGCTGAAGTCCAAGAGATGAGTCTCAGCCCCTTGAGGAAGACGCTTCTCAGAACTTTTAGAACCCCGTGGCAGGAGGGAAAAGCTTCAGAGCAAACACCTCATTTCTGGACAGATCAAAGCTCATGTGGAGGGACCATCTCCCAAGCCCACACCTGGGTGGTGGGCACAGACCTCTCAAGAGGCCCTGTGACAAATGCTGCCCACTGAAGGAGGCTCCTCAAACATCTTTTTTCAAGCCTGCTCACAGGGCACTGTGCCCCTCAACTCCCAAGCCAGGTTTCCTCTACACAAGGATGGATCAGATGCAAGGAAGCACAACGGTGGGAAGTGAAATGAGGTGGAAGTGTTGAAAGAAACGTGGACAGGCAAGTGAATTGAAGAGGATCAACACAAAAGTGGAGCATTTATCACTCCCAGGCACGTGTGGTCGCTCGGTGACCTTGCTCCTTGCTGCAAGAAGCTGAGACTCAGGGAAAAAAAAAGATGTGCTTCCATTATGACACTCACCTCCAACTCCATTTCTCCAAACTCACGTGCTGAAGTGTGAAAATTAAGCTCCCCTCACTATAAAACCTACCAGGAGAGCACCAGATCTCTCACTTGCCCCACTGCCATGTGTTCTTGACTACAGGCTCCTGCCTGACAGCAACAACTGACTGCTGGGGGTGGGGGGAAAGGGGAACTCTTCACCCTGAAGAGCTCTGCTCTTCACAGCCCCACCTCCAGGCTCTCCTTATCTCCTCAAATACTCAAGCTATGCAACAAGCAGTTCAGAAACATGGGGTTTAAGGGGGATTTTTTGTTTTAAAACCAGCCAGCAAGGCAATAAACTGACCAGAACTGCGGCTTTCTTGGCACCCAAATCAGTCTTTTTTTAAATCCTGTGTGTTGCTCAAGAACAAATCTAGGGTGGAACAGCCCTAAGAAGTTACAGAGGGAGTCTGGAAGGTGGCAAGCCACAAAACAAGCTGTTTTTCAGCAGTTCCCAGCCCTCAGCTCTGTGGCAGTAACCAGCCAAGGTTACTGCAAGCAGCAGAAACCCTGACAGTGATTTCAGTGGGTAGAAAAACCTGAGGTAAAATCACTTTTTAAGGTCTGTTTTGACAGTACAGCAGCATCCCTGCTACAAAACCCTACCTGCTTGGCACCTTGGTCCAGCACCACTGTGTTTAGGCCAGGTTAGCAAAGCTACAGCACGTGGGGGAAGCAATGGCCCAGCCATGCTCTGCATCTGTGGAACCAAATCCTCCTGGGTATTCCCCAAAGAGCTCCTCAGCAGGGCACTCAATGCCTCTCCCCTCCTAATTCCAATCACACAGCCATTTCCAGAAGCCTGTTCAGTGTCAGAGGGAAGGAGGGGTGTGGGGGAAAATAAAAAGAGAAGGGATGCCTAGAGAGACATGAAGGAAAGGAATAAAACTCTGCTTGTCCATGCTTGAAATCTCCATTCTCCTACCTGGCAAGTCTCTCCTTATCCGCTGAACTCTGCTCATCATCAGACCTAAAAATAAAATCAGCCATCTAAGCTAAAATGGAAAAAAAAAGGTTTCAAGAAATGAGAAATGGGAAAGATGTACCAGGAAACCCAGCCTAGGGACACAAGTCTGTTTTGCAGAGGAAGCAATTCCACCCAGCAAAGCAGGCAGGAGCTGGCAGCCTCACACAGGGCACGGGTGCTGCTCTCAAGTGTCTGTCTGGAGTTGTGAGATGCTCCCCAGGGGGGTGGAAGAGGCCAGGGGCAGCTCTGGTTTCCATCTCACTGAGGTGCAGATCCTTCTGGACAACATTAGAGGGTTAATGGGAGAACTGGGAATTAGGAGCCCAGTCTCATTAAGCTGCTCTTTCTTTAAAAGGAATCAAAAAATCAAGACTTGTATGAAAATGGATTAAAAAAAAACCCAAATCCACAAGCAGGGTAAGAACCACGGGGGGACACCACAGGTTGGTGACACACCAAACAGCACCAAGATGTCCCAGGCCTTGGCTCCAGAGAGGCACAGACACCCCCCCTCTCTTCACCCCCAGGGAACAACCAGCTCCAACCACTGGAAAAGCTGAAGAACTGGAGCTCAGGGGTCCCTCACCAGCCCCCTGGGCAGATCACAGCACTACAGGCAACTGAAATTGGGGCTTTGCCATTTTCACCCCCTCTGCATGGAGACTCTGACACAGGTTTCTAGCTCTGGCTGACATGTTACAGAGAAGACTTTTCTTCAAAGCCTTTTTTTTCAGTGTGTGACCTCAGGGAAAGGCCCCTGCAGCCAGCACCATCCCCAGCTGACCCTCCAGACAACACGCTGGGCAGCCCTTCCCTCAACAGCCTCAGTCACAGGGATTTTAACTCCAATTTCAGGGATTTCTCAAGCCAGACTGTTCCTGAGGACAACCCACTAAGCAGAGCCTCTTGGCCATTCGTCTGTATCTGCTTCTTTTCTCTCTTAGCAAAACATAACACCATGTACCTTGGCACTGAGGAGACACCCTGGAGTTTACAGCGCTCAAATATACACCAAAGAACCTCACTTGGGCAAAAATGTGACACATCAAGACAAAAATAACCCCCCTGAAATAATTCAGTTGAGTTCCACGGGCTTCAGAAAGCTGTAAAAATACCAGGAAGTCAGTGCCATGGTGTAGAGCTCCTTTCAGACACCAAAAGAGTCAAAATACTGCCTGTGATGTTCCTGCACACTCCAACCTGTAGGAAATATCTCCCTTCTGGAGAAAGCTTCTGCCCTACACCCCACAAAACACACAAAGCACAACATCTGCCAGGAAATATGCAAGGAAAACACATCAACTAAGCCTGAAACTTGTGTTCTGTGAGTTTCTTGAGGAGGAGAAAAAGAATGAGAGTCCAGGGCAAGAGCTGAAAGAAACGTTGACAAACAGGAATGTCATTTCACCAGGCTCACAGCAAACTGGTCCCAAAAAAAGGTGAAGGAAAACGTGTGGATCCATCCTCCTTCAGAGACACAAAATCTAACTGCTGGTTAGAAGGTTGCTGAAGGGTCTTCTCTTATTTTACAGTGGTTTGGCACCAAAAGCTTCACAAATTGCATCCCAGAGGCTCCTTACCTGGCAAATCTCTCCTTGTCGTTGGGCATCGGGTCGTCATCACACCTAGAAGGGGGAGAGATGAAGAGTTCTTAGAGCACTTTCACTGGTTTCTTCCCCACAGGCACTGAGAGAAGAACAAGGTTGAATAAATCACACAAAGACAGTTCTGTGTGCAGGCAATCCAGAACCATACTCTTCACTTACCCACTCAGACTACAGTGTAATTACTCTGATCACCTTGATGATGTTCTCCACATCCCACTCAAGGGCAGTGGCACCACCCTCAGAAATTT